CATGTTGGCAAAATCAAGTAGGTCTTTTTGAGTATAGCGTATCAACTCCTCAGTCACATTTTCTATTTCACCTCTTGGGGCTTGCTTAGACTTGACCTTTGTTATGGGCTGAGCTGCCAGAATAGGTGCTTGAGGCAGCTCCTGAGAGCATTCAGGAATGTTTTCCATGGCCTCTGCCTCACACAGTAACTCTGCAAGATCGGTTTGGCTAGTCCCCTCAAACTGAGGTGGGGGGGGATAATGGTTTTACAGTAATCTGTTCCGATGGGAGGGATTCAACAGAGTTTACAGGCTCCATATCCTGATCTTCCTGATCATCTGTCCATATGTCCCCATTCCAGGTTACAGGATCCCATTATTTTCCAATCAATGCCCTCACTTTAATGGCAGACACCGTTCTGGGTTGGCAATTGAGCTGGCGTTATAAATCAGTGTCTCTTAAAATAAGCCTCTGGATTTGGGTTTCAGCAATGTTAGCCCTGGTAGTAGAAGCTATAAGGCTTTCTTTCAGAGCACAGCTGGAAGCACTGAGGTTGTTTATGTGGCGCTTAAGCCAAGACTCAGCAGCTTTGAGCCCATCTCGCTCTTTCACCAATTTATCCAGTGTAAGAAAGACCAACCAACCAGCTTCCGTATACTTCTCATTCTGACAAAATTGCAGAAAAGTATCAAATATCCCATCACCCAGAGCGTCACTTCTCACAAGTACTAGATCTATTGGTGGTGCTATTTCACATATTAATTTTGCCACCTCACGCCATGGATTAGTAGGGCTCTCTTTACTAGCAGACGCAGAGTCGCCAGTGTTATCAAAATTAATCAAACTGGAGAATCAATCTAGGAAGCCCATCCTTATGATTTTGTCTCTCTAGAACCACTCTCGGTACCAAATGTGTTAGATTGGGTTCTCTAGAGAAACACAAAAACCAGCAAAGCGTATATAATTATATATAGAGAGAGAAATTTATCTTATGAAAATGGCTCACAAACGTATAGTTTGTCAAGTCCAAAGTCCCTGGAGGAAACGTCAGGCTGGAGGCAGCCTTAGCTTCCGCAGGCGCAGGGGGCCGAGAAATTCAAGGCTGGCAGGCAGTACACTGGTTGTTGACTCCAACGAAAGACAAATCCAAGATCTCCAGGCCGAGCGGTGGGCTGCTCACTCATGGAAGGTTGTAGTCAGCACACCACGGTT